CTCTCTCATTCACTCACTCACTCACTAACTCACGCACAATAGTTTTGTAAAATAAATTAAAATATTGTTATTCATTAAATTAATATATAAATATTAGTGAATCATTTTACATACCAATTACTGTCAACACAATAAACCACTTCATTATTAGTGATATAATTGTTATTTGAAACAAAATAACTGGTTTAATTCAAAATGGTTGAGAACTAAGAGCTTTAACTCGAGACTGAATAAAATATGGTATATTTGAAACCAGTTGTTTGAATTATATTAATTAATTAAAACTAAAAACTAACTTTAATTAAATTTTTACAAAAAATATCTTATAAAACTCTTCGAATTACTTTTTAAAAATTAATTATAATTAGTTTTGTAGATATAATTTAAATTAAATTATTTTTACTTATGTTCAATATGGGTAATACAATTACGCCAATCACTGGTATGACGTATATCTAACATATTTTTCAAATAAAAAATTAGAATGATATTCAATATAAGTTTTATAAAATACTGTCCAGACATGCAATAAAAAATTAAAATATCTCAAAAAATAGTTAATAATTTAACGAAAATCATACTATTTAATAAATAATGATATTATTAATTAAAAAAATTTTTTTGAGAAAGTCAAAGTTAACATTTTATACAAAAGATTCTACACTGACAGTTTTATTATTAATAATTTAGTTATAAACGTCAATCAAAAACTAATCTGTACTAAAATTGTTATGAGATTTAACAATATATTTAATAAATTTAATTGATCCAATTAATAAACAATTTAATTTAATTTTTATATGATACTATTCGCAAAAAGTGTCGGAATGTGAAAAATGCATTTATATTAACAATATGTAATACAAAATTACAGCTTATAACATGATAAAATTATGCATACATTTAATTCACACAAAACTAAAACAATTAAAAGAAGGGTAACAGTAATTATAACGCAAAGTCCGCGTACTTGATAAATATATTAACAAGCGACACGGTAATCGATTTGTGTTTTGCATCAGGGTACTTTTCGCCGAGTTCGCACTTGGCGTCCGCTTTCACACCGAGATGTTCCTCAGCTCTGGTCACGAATGATGGAAAAATTGCAATTCGTTCGCGAGTGGACTCTCTGAAGCCATCAATGTCTTCGTGCATATTCAACACATCGTCCCAATATTTACGCACAATACTGTTTATATGGGTTCAACAATATGTTACTTATTAAATCTATATAAAGTTTATAACAATTATCAATTGTCACGCACACAGGGATGTTTTATTTGTTACGGGGTTATTTGCAAATTACGTTAGCACTTTTACAAAACCTAGAACCTCTCTCTCCCCCTTTATTCGCAATTGTATGCATGTATTCATTTGTAAAAATATTACCTTCGCACGTCCCTAACACCCTTTCCGCATAGCAAACATAAAACTATTTCTATTCAAAAGTCATATCTTAATTTAAAATTAGTTATCAAACAGTTGTAATCAAAATAGTAATTTATTTGTTTTCTTAAAGTCTTTAAATTATTTTAATGCTAACGGTCTTAAACTCTCAAACCTTCCCTCCCCCTCCCTCCAATTGCGAACGTAATATGCGAACAACTTTTAGCAACAAATCAGGTTCAGAATTAAATCTATCATAGAATAAACACATGGTTATATAAAGGTGACATTGTTTAAAATTTATACTTTTAATCTATACATGCAAATATAAATATAAACATACCATAACACTTCGGCCAAGTTAATTCTAGCCTGGTTGGCAGCATCGGTTAGATAACCAAGAACACGATCGCGTAGTTTTTTCGATTCGACCACTTTAGAATTGAGTATGGCGCAATATTTCAACATGGTATTGTTGGGCAGTTAGCAATAGTTACTAACTTTCTCGTAGCTCGAAAGGCTAGTGCTCTCCAAAATTACATCACGGAGTATAGGTTTTAAGTAACCGGCATATTTAAAGCCGTCCAATATATCCCACATCCTGAGTGTTTTGAAACATGGTCAATTAGTGAATTGTTATAATAATTTAATGATTTCATCTTTATTAGTGTTGATTTTTTAATCAGTGAGTCAATCAATAACTATGTCAACTTTTTAAAAATTACTTTTAATTTTTTTTACTAATTTTTATAACTAATATAATACTTTTTATTTAGTTGTAGAAATGGATGCTTATATCATTTAAGTTATATGAAATCCATATTTACATATATTTATTTATATTTTAACTTAACATTGTTACTATAATAATAAATTATTGTCAACTACTATACTAATTCACTATATCATGTCTATTACTGTTATCTAAATATAATTAAAAATATAAAATAATATATAATGCAATATACAGTATATCATATACTTTATATAATCTTTATAAATTAATATGAGAATTAATGACAACTTATCATAAATTATGATAAACATATAAATGCAATAAGAGATTATTAATTGTAAATTATGAATTGTTAAGTTTGTAAACAATGTTACTAATTTCTTTTTGAATAATTTTAATTTAAAGTTTGTATTTCTATGTAAAAATGTTTTCAACTCCTAAATGACACAAAACCAAAATAGTGAAATATTTACTTAAATAGTTGGCCATCATATATGTATTGATAGTACAAGTTAATGAAAGTTATTTTAAAGTGCGTATTACTCACAATTTCCCATTCGTATCATTAGTTGTGCCATTTCTTTGCATTTCGCCAGAATTAACTCCACTTTTTCAGGGCATTCCACGCCATTGCCTAACCTCTCATACTTTGGGATCATTTTATCCACTTTTAACTCTTGTTCTTCGAAATTGCAATTTATTGCACCTAAACGTAGATTAATTAAAATACACATTAATTATTTTGCAATCAATAGTTTCACTCACCCTCTCTCTCTCTCTCTCTCTTTTCTACACATTTTTGTAACATAAATTAAAATATTGTTAATTACTAAATTAAAATATAAATATTTGTAACTCAATTTACATACCGATTACTGTCAACACAATAAACAACTTCATTATTAGTGATTTAATTGTTATTTTAAACAAATTAATTTATATAGTTCAAAATGGTTGAGATCTAAGAGTTCAAACGAAAGATTGAATAAAATAAGGTGTTTTATACCAGGTGTTAGATATATATTAATTAATTAAAATTAAAAACTAACTTAATTAAATTATTTCTATTCTAAAAATTGTCTAAAAATTAAACGGGCATTCAATACAAGTTTAATAAAATACTGTCCAGACATTCTTTTTAAANTTGAATAAAATAAGGTGTTTTATACCAGGTGTTAGATATATATTAATTAATTAAAATTAAAAACTAACTTAATTAAATTATTTCTATTCTAAAAATTGTCTAAAAATTAAACGGGCATTCAATACAAGTTTAATAAAATACTGTCCAGACATTCTTTTTAAAAATATTAATAATTTAGGGTAAATCATATTATATAATAAATTATTACTTCACAATTAGTATATAATTAGTACATACTCATAGATAATTACGCCATATCTACTATATTTTGTAGTAAAAATAAATGTTAAATAATTGAATTAATTTTTTTTTATAAATTATATAATAAATTATTACTTCACAATTAGTATATAATTAGTACATACTCATAGATAATTACGCCATATCTACTATATTTTGTAGTAAAAATAAATGTTAAATAATTGAATTAATTTTTTTTTATAAAATACAATCTAGACTTTTAATAAAAGTAGCTAAAATACTGATATTTTTTGATAAAATTTGATATTAAACCAAATTATATATAAGCAATTAAATAATATCTTATTCAGAGCAGCATTTTGTTTGGCTTTTTAAAATCTAATTTTAATTAAAAGTTACAATAATAATAATAATAATAATAATAATAATAATGGTATTTTATTCAAAGAACATGTCAGTGAAATTACATCAAATTTAAGTAAAATTTTTTATCATATTATTATAAATTAATAATACCATGCTATTTTTAATAACAATTAATCAAAAAATTAATGTAGAATTTCAATAATAAACCGAGTTAAAATAGTTTTTACGCTCATTAAATTGCTTAAACCTGAGCGAATTCTTACTGATTACTCTAGGTCTATTTACAATTATCTTGATGTTTGGTCTACTGCCTGATAACATTATACTTTTTAATTTAATAGCATATTTTGAAAATATATTTGTCAAATATAACAACGATAAAGCAAACCACAGGCTCATTAGTGATCCGATAAATACTACATACTCTTTAAATGACATTTTCAATGATATTTCGTACAGTGTTTTAGGCTCTGATGGTAATTGTAGTTGCAGCGCAAAATTGTTACCATAATTATAAATATTTTCTAGCTGGTGATTTATTGAATAACGAACACACTATAAAAAATTCAAGTAAATTGTTTTTTTAAATAACTTTTGAATAACCAATCCAATTTAATCAAAATTTATGTCACATGATCTTGATTATATGTCAAATGAAACATAAATGTCAAATTAAAATCTTGGACAGTATTTGATCAGATATTTGCGGTTGTCTGCGGACACTCGCGGCTGTACTGTTGACAACATTAACATGAGTATCATTGTATGCAATTAAAATGTGATAATTAAAAATTTCACTATAAAAACAGGTACCAATTTGTAAATCATATATCAGGGTTTATTTTGATATAAAAATCACTTCAATCACTTTAGAGATAGTGGAGTTATGATATAAAAACGACGGTCAGTCCGCACATAGACTTACATTGTTTACAAAAAGTGAGTGAAAAGCAGTGTTTCACACATTGAAGCCTACGTTAATGTTGTCAACAGTACGGCCGCGAGTGCTTGCAAACAATCGTATATATCTGGTCAACTACTGTCCAAGATTTTAATTTGACATTTATGTGTAATTTGACATATAATCAAGATCATGTGACATAAATTTTGATTAAATTGGATTAATTATTTAAAAGTTATTTAAAAAACAATTTACTTGAATTTTTTATAGTGAGTTCGTTAGTATTGTAGCAATTGAACTCATTAGAATTAGTAAATTATCTTACAAAAATAATTTATCAGTTTTAGGTGATGTATTATTTACCAACTAATGATATGAACTGTTTAAAAAGTAAATACCGATTGATTTTGACCACAAAGACCGCACCCGAACGGGCCGACCCGGAAAAGTTAAAAATATTAAATTTATACCAAGAAGTGGCAATTTTACCCGAACTCCCGATACCGAATGCATTAACAAATTTAACCTATTTTAGTTTTTACTCATTAGAATTAGTAAATTATCTCACAAAAATAATTTATCAGTTTTAGGTGATGTATTATTTACCAACTAATGATATGAACTGTTTAAAAAGTAAATACCGATTGATTTTGACCACAAAGACCGCACCCGAACGGGCCGACCCGGAAAAGTGGGTAATCATGTGCCAAATTATCGGGATGTGTCCAATTCATTACTTCCATATATTGATGTATTATTTACCAACTAATGATATGAACTGTTTAAAAAGTAAATACCGATTGATTTTGACCACAAAGACCGCACCCGAACGGGCCGACCCGGAAAAGTGGGTAATCATGTGCCAAATTATCGGGATGTGTCCAATTCATTACTTTCATATATGGATTTGTTGGTCATTATATGCTTTTAATGGGCAACAAGTTATGACCATTTAAATCAATTACCGCGGTGTTCAGAGCCAATAATTTAACACATACTCAAAATATGGCTATTTTTGGCCTATTTTTAGACCACGTTTTACGAAAATCACCCGAAAAAAATTAGAGGACTTTGGGTCATAAATCTCTCCACACCCACCATATACTCCAGTTATCCCACTATCACATGACTTTTAATACCATTCTCTCGTGTCATGTTTTAGGGGTGCAAAATGCTAAACAAAAGTAGTGGTCGAAACAGACACCACTCACTTCTTTGACTCTCAGGGCAGCCATTTTTATCGGGAATCAAATGAAAATTTGTCCGAATGATATCCAATAGTTGCCGATAATAATAGCTATTTTATAATTTGAATTAATTTTTTTATCACAATATTAATGAATTTTCTATTTTCTATTAAATCTGTCCGGTTTTTATCCGGTTAAGCCAATATTGCTTTACGTTCATTACAACAAGATTATATTTATTATTTTATTTATAAAAAATAGTTTTAAATAATTAAACATGTTACAAGGTAAAAATATTTTAATATAAGTTTAAATTATGATTGTTTTGATTAGAAAATGTAAATTGCCTAAACTTCATTGAATGATTACTAATCACCCTAGGTTTATTAACTGTAATACTGTTTACAACATTAACATTGTTTGATTGAAATAAAATTTTAACATTTAAAACTAGTTTCCATAAAATATTAGTCAAAAATAGTATCGATAGACCAAACCATAGGCTCATTAGTGAACCGATAAATACCAAGTACTCTTCAAATGACATTTTCAATGATATCTCGTATACTGTTTTGGGTTCTGAGGGTAATTGAAACTCAATATAAAAATAGTCGCCATATCTATAATTATTTTCAACTTGATGATTTATTGAATAGTATTGTAACGAACACTCTAATCGATTATTGCATTTACTTTCGCATATCTCATCAAAACTAGCATTGCGTATAAACCGGGTATAAGCTGTCATATTATCCGCATAATCATCAGCATAAATTAAATAGCTACCATGATACGCGGAATATTTCAGGTAGTGCATGTAATGGTGGTCACAATTTAGCGGGAATATACATTAAGGACATTCAACCCAATGCTCGCCCTCTAAACCCCTTTTAAAGCCTATTCTACGAGATATGCTATGAGAAGGCTATCGATTTGTGTTAAT